ATACAACGTATAATTTTCATAAAACCCTCCTGCTAATAAACTAAGTGTTAAAATCAAATAATCACTATAACTCAATCACCGAGTACCCAATGCTACTCAGTGAGACTAACTAAAATGCCTGAAACATGGTGCAGACAACTATACTAACTTATACAACTGTTAAACCTTCGGTATTTAAGTATTAGTTTTTGTAACTTCCATAAAAAATACTATTGAAATGAATCAATATGTTATATCTATCACTCAACCTAAACTAGTTCTCCTGTCAAATGTTCGTATAGAAGAAATAGTTAGAGAATGTGACAGTTGAGTTTTGGCAAATTATATATCAACCATTTGAGCGATTACAGCTGGAGAAGACGAAAAATGATATTTAGTTCAGTTTGGTTTCTGTGTTCACTGCTAACCACTGGTCAATCAGATGTGAAAAAAACATAAACGCGACAACGTCATCTGAAATTTATCATACCCATTGATTAACAAAACTTAATTTTGTCACCTCTTTAAATTATTGATCATTGAATTTGTTTCATGTTATGGAATTATAGTCATTTTATACATAGTGAAATTCATGAGTCGATGCAAGCTACACCACCACTGAATTCCTGGAAGAACTGAATGGTCACTCCGTCCTAGTATACGACTCCTCAGCAGTGTGCACCCACGACCCCGCATGAGGGACTCGAACCCAAATTTTTCGGTCTCGTGCGCGGACACCTACCCTCTAGATCACCAAGCCGGCATTCATTATTTTTAATAACCAACATTGCTTTTTTTCAGTTCCTTTCATTATACAGTCCATTGACGTCCAGATGCAAAACAGCTTATTTTTTATGGAAACATGTATAAACATCATGATTAACAACGGATATATTTTTTAAGTGTCCTGCAGTAATTATGAATACAGATTTTATTACAAATAGTGTCAACCATAGAATGAGATAAGTTTTTTTAGAAAGACAACATAAATGATCATTTTGAGAGTAAACTACTTTGCTTTATATAAAATATGATCAGTATGCCTGACTAAGCATGTTTTATTTTCGAATAAATAACTGATCATTTTGTAAATTATAACTATATATGCTTTCAAACTGCTCTGTATTATTTCTTTTGCATTGTCTGCTACTTTTTCTTTGTTGGATGTTGTGAGATAATAGTAATAATTATTATTATTATGTATTCCGAAAATAATTATTACAGGATTCATGCCTGTTTACGGGCATGATCAGCTTGATGTAGATAGTGATATTAAATGTAGGGAACACACATATGATATCAGACTGTTTGAAGTAATCGAGTTCAAAATTTGATTAGATAGTGAATTTTCCACTCATATTACAACAGTGAAAAGCATCAGCCTGGAACTTTTAATTCTTTTTAAGTTGACATCCTGTTGATGTATGAACGATGCATATATGGTCATTTCCTGTGCCACAAAGAATTCATTGTAACTATCTACAACTAGAGAAAATAAGACAGAAACAGAATGCATGGAACAACATAGCAATAATAACTACGATAGGTCAGTCAGGTATACCATAATACATATGTCAGGCTACTTTATAATGTACTGGTCGTGTTAGATATTACTCAAATTATTTCAGAACGGTGTTAATGTAAAGTAACAGCAGGTTGGGAGGTTTACTTAGTGAATTTAGCAATAAAAATGTTTAAACATTAGAAATTCTCATAATCTCACTTGTAAAATAAGACACATTTACAGGTGTGTGAGTACTTAAAGCATTCTTAGAGAAGAGGTAAGCATCAATACAACGAACAAAGGATGCGGTTTTATCTCACGGATGGATTGTAGTAAAATGTTCCAGAGTCTGGAACACTTCCTGCTAAATTAGTTCATGCAAGAAGATTTGGAATTTGGTTGTTTTACAAATGACAAAGAGTTACAGATGTTGTTACTAGGAATTTCTGAATATTGAATTACTTCACAGGATGTAAGAGACAACTGATTAATTATTTTGAAGAAAAATATTAGGTTTACTTTGGGTTACCTCTTCCAGAAAAAATCTAGTTCACGTTTCTTACATCTGGACTTATAATTTAAGATACAATTAGTCCCAAGAATGCAAAATGTAAATCGTCTCTGAACGGATTCAGACTTTAATCTATCATTTGTGCAAACACTACCAAGAATAAACGTGCAGTATTCTAGGATTGGTTGAATATATACTTTGTACATCAAAATAAGTGACTTTTTGTTATAAAGATTACGAATTATGCAACCCATATGACGATGGGACTTAGAAATCACTTTCGAAACCTTTTCTGTGAAGGAAAAATTGTAGGAGTACCTAAGTTCTAAGTACTATAATGTATGCAACTTAGATAGCGCCTTACCATTTATGACAAGATCTAAGTTGAGCGATATGTTACCAAAGTATATTCATCCACATTTGGCCGTGTTAAGCTCTAACTATCATTTTAAGCATCACTAGGCTACTTTGTTGAGCTCCATACTGATGCAATTTTGCATACTGTTCAACTCGTGAGTAGAAAATGAATTTTATTCATTAGGACTTTTTATTCTATGAGATTCGTAAATCAATAAACATTACTCAACTGGAAAAAATGTACTCAGCTCAACTTTTACTCCTTACAATATTATGTACTAATTTTACTTACAATCCAGAATCCATAACAACCTAATAAGATTAACTTATTGTTCAACATTTGTTATATTAGAACTTAAGAAGAAAAGAACCAATGTATTCAAAAAAAATGATGACATGAATGTAATTTAATGTATTTATGTTTAGTCAAACTTGGATTTCTGTTGAAATAACAAAATATCAACGGTGATATTAATTAATACTTAACATTTAGATTAACACTAGAAATCATCATTATCTTATCAGCATAGTGACTATACACGTTAATCTGCGATACTGATCAATTTTATCAGGAAACAAAAAGAATAAAAAATTTTTAAACAAGTAGGTAATATTCAATTACTTAACGGTCACTTATCGATCCATTATGAATCGACCGATCGATGCTCAACGTAATTTAATGTAAATAAATTATGTACATATCGGAACATTTTTTATTTATATATTTGTTTAGATTATATTTCATTTAAACTACTCCTCTGGCCATTTCAGGGTTATTGCCGTTTCCAAGCCCGGGTAAAGATGGGCGGTTGGAAGTGGGACCAGTTAAACAGCAACTAAAATGAGCAGATACAACTTGGCGGTTCTCAGAATCAGTGAAACCTATTGGACCCGATCTGGGTAGATTCGGATGAGATGCTGCTGTACTCCAGTCACGAAGAGGAAAATGCACCATACACTCAAGGAGTTGCTCTAATGCTGTCCAAAGTAGCACGAGATGCACCTGTAGCATGGGAATCTCACGGATCCAGAATCGTCAAAGCATCCTTCAAAACAAACTAGGAGGCAATCACGATGAATATTATTTAACGTTATGTACCCAACAATCAATCCAACAAAAACGATAAACATCAGTTCTATGAGAGGCTGCAATCGGTCATAGCGAAGTGCCCATGAAATGACCTCACCATCCTGATAGGAGATCTAGATGCCAAAGTCGGGATAGACAACACCGGATATGGAGATATCATGGGACGACACGAACTGGGAGAGAGAAACGAGATTGGTGAGAGATTCGCAAACCTACATGCATTCGAAGAATCTGTCAAAGGTGGCACAATATTTCCACACAAACGCATGCACAAAGCGATATGGGTCTCACACCACAGCTGTAGAAGCATTGGACAAATGGGGAAACAGCATTACATGGGTTTAATGCAGCTTTCTATCACGGAAATGAAAAACTCGCTGAATTCAAGGTAGTTCTCAACAACAGGTTCCAAGCCTTACAAGATCTACTCAAAGAAGGGGAAAATAAAATAGAGGAGAAATGGAAAGGGATCAAAGAAGCACTAAGTCCAACGTGTCAGGAATTTCTGTGTCGCAATAAGCATCATCATAAGGAATGAATGAATATTGATATCCTGTGCATTATTCAGGAAGGAAAGAGCAAGAAGACAGCAATTAATAACAGCTGAACAAGAACGGAGAAGGCCAATAGACATACCGAATACACAGAAGCAAAGAAGAAAGCAAACATTTGATTGGAATGCTCTGGAAAGGGGTAAAATCCTCCACATAACTGGGTAGCATCATCGATAAACAAGGAGGACCCGATGTAAACTTAAATGCGAGGATTGGAAAAGCAAGGACAGCATCCCTATATTTGAAGAACATATCGAACCCAAAACAACTGTCAACCAATATCCAAGTTACAATCTGTAATACGTACGTCAAGACAATTTTACTTTATGGAACTAAAACTTGGAGAACTACCACAACCATCATCAAAATGGTACAATTATTTATAAACAATTGTCTACACAAGATACCCGATGTCTGCTGGCCAGATTCCATCAGCACCAACCTGCTGTAAGTGTGGAAAGTATACACATTTCGTAAATCATCAAACTGAATCACGAGGAAAGTCTTAACTTGGAATCCTGAAAGGAAGCGGAAAAAAGGAAGACCGACGAACACATTGCCTCAAGGATTTGAAGCAGATATCAAAAAAATGAACAGCAACTGTAAACAACAGGAAAGGATTGCCCATGACAAAGTTGCTTGGAGAATACTGATGGGTAGCCAGTGCTCCCTCCACGCGGGATAGCAGGTATAAGTAAGTAAGTAAGTATACTACAACTTAAGAAGACGGTTCAGATTTGAATGAAGGTTAGATTTGGAAATGAGTTATTCTGACATCATATATATTCTCTTGCGAAAATTCTAACTCTGTGAATTGAATTTATTTGATTTCTGAAAAAAATGAATATATAACCAATATATCAGAAAACAAACAGAACGGGTTACTTATTTTAGCTTAAATTTTAGTGATCATTTATTTGTTTATACTAAGGGGAAGTTATCAGTATTTCTGTACAAATGTAATCTCTGTTATTTTTTAATACATAATTCTTTTCTGTTTGTTTATTATACTGCACTATGTTCAGCTTGTTCAGCAACAAATGTTAAAAATTCTCTAATATTAAGTCGTCCATCTCGATCAGTATCATATCGTTTCATGTAATTTCGAACAGATTTTCTCACTTCAGAAGAATTATCCCCACCAAATAGTGAACAGATTTCATGAAAATCCAAAGTACCTGAACCATCTTTATCCAATTTTCGAAATAAACGTTTCCAACTGAAATGAAAAAAAATATTTGACTGGTTTCCGTCAAACTGTATTTATAGTATGTGCATTAATAAAATGAAGCTAATCGATGCTGTTGTGTTTTGCATTTGATACCGATTTATGACTTAGAATGAAACAAGTACAGTTTTCGTAGAGTCTCTTCAATATTTGCACTGAAACATGGTATTATACATAATGTCATAAAAGGTTGCTTTAAACTAACGTTATTCCATAAAATATATTAAAAATGTTTTCCTAATAAGGTAAATGACCTCATCACTAGAGTAACATTTGAGAATATTATAGATATATTTGAGAATAATACAAATGTAATAAACCTCGAACCCTTTTTTAGCTTTGACTAGAAAAAATAAATACACCTAATTTAAAGTGTTTTATCTTAGTTTTTAAAGTCACAGATCACCTAAAACACTTCAGATATTATTAGTTCGTTGAATGGCTTTAATTTGAATCTGCTGTTAAATATTTATGTATTAAACGGGATTACAACTGTTAAAACGTTATTCCAAGATATTTAATATATAGTCAAAATCCAGTTGGTATCCTTATTTATTGCATTCACCCCAACATTTCTGGGTAAGATATGCAAACTGTTGCTTCTTTTTTTACTTCAGTCTATGTGTAGCTGATTTGAAGCCTAGAAGAAAACAATTTTGGTACTCCGCATATCATTTTCTTCTTCTCTGCTTGAAATGAGTTGGTGATTTGTATTACGTTCTTAAATTAGAGTTCAACAAAAGAACAACCAAACTAATGAACTTGACAACTACAATTCTAGTTATTTGCTGTCATGCAAATATCATATTCTTGTCAAACATATAGACTCCTTCAATTTAAGATACATCATTTTTGTTGATGTGATTAGCAGATTGACACATTTTGCTAAAATTTTGATTTTTTTTAAATAAGCAATTCTCTTCTTAAAACTTATTTGCAAGTCTAGGTTTAGTCAGTGTACTAGTCTACTTTACCTATTCTTGAGTAATTTGACTATGTCTTCTTAATGACTGATTGTGTGACTTTACGTTTAGTCTTATGACATTGTGTGTAAATTTGTTACCAAGATTCACACTTCTGAATAGCTATTTGGCTTTGTTATTTTTACCAGTCATCTGTAGAAATATGACAAAATATATTCATTTATAATTGTGCTGTTATCTAACAATTAAGGCTACAATCACGTTTCATTCAGCATATCATTAACTAGCCTATTCTAAAAAAATTCAATAAACATGATTCTTCATAAAAATATAATGTATTCACAAGACCAACTATTTAAATAAGTATAATTTGTTAGTCCAAAGAGCTATTAAAACAGTTCTAAATATTAGGAATCAAGTTAATGCAATATTGTACTTTGTATAGGATGTTTAACGAACTGTGAACAACACTATATTCTAACAAGTTAAATTTTATGGGTATGATCTTCGTGTTCAACTATTAGATCATTTCCCATACATAGAAATGTTTAGGCTGATATAAAACAATGAAAATTATTTAGTTGTGATTTGATATTCAGTAGCTTTGAAATGTATTTTACTTACGAAATTTCATCAGTCTACATAATTAAAAAAACTTTTACTGAAATCAGTGTAACCGTGTTGGCGTAACTCAATGACTTAAGTTTATATTAGTGTGCATCATTTTCAGTGTTCAAAAGAAAAAAAATACCTGAGACTACATATAACATCAGAATGATTACAGTTTTAGGTGATCATTTGACTTACCCATCGATTGATTGACCTGTCAATCCCAATATCAATTTATATTCGCCAAAACTTATCAAACCATCACCATTGATATCAAACAATTTAATTAGTTCCTATAAATAAAACAAAATAAACATTTGGATGAAGTAACAACAAATAAACAAACATAAATTTAATTTCCTAATCCATAGTTGTTTAATTTAATTTAGAATAATCTAGTTTTGAAAACATGCCATATCAAGATGATCTTTTTTCATTGTCAAATAATCAACATTATGCCTTAGATACTCTATTTAAAATGCTTTGTATAAAAACTTAATTAACATATAAAGTAAACATTAGAGATCTAAAAGTAGTTTATTGTTCAAGTATTAAATAACAAACAAATTTAGCTTAATCACATCAACTATTTCTATACTTTTATCATACCATGATCAGATATTTTAACCGTAAAAGAAAGAAATTATATATATATATATATATATATATATATATATATATATATATATATATATATATATATATATCGTTGTCACAGAATAATGTGTTTCCTTCAGAAAATGCTAACCCATGATTTCTCTTGTTTAATTTCAATTTATTGACTTCAAGGCTAAGAATATTGATTACTATAATAAACTAAATTATAACAAAAATTTAATAGACTTATGAAAGATAGAACATAACAATAGATCAAGAACTATTCATATTAGTATTGTGAACTATCGTTTGAAAAATAAAAAAGCTAAACGAGAATGAAAAATATTCTATGTTACAATTAAAATCATAGACGGATAAACTATTCCTTATTAAAAATGAGAACAATTTATAGTTAATTATCCTTGATCTTGCATACTCACTTATTTCATAGATAGTGGTTTAAAATATTTGAAATTCAAGCATTTATTAGATACTCTTGACCATTTGAATTATATATATACATATATATCAACTTAATATAGTTCAGTTTAGAAAGACTGGTTTCATTTCAAGATCGAAATTAACTTAATCCTTTCAAAAGCTGTCCTGGTACTGCTGAGGGTGGGGAAAGTTAACTTTCCCTTTTGAAATGCCCTCACATGGCAATGCGCATACAGCCACTGTCAGGGAAGTCCTGCTCATTGCTTCCTCGCATCAGGGGTGTTTTTTTACCAAATTCAGAAGAAGAAAAGCGAGTGTCCGACGCTTTAACTGGGTTGGTGGATATGGATGATCCACCTAGAGGAGTTGGAAAACCATGATTCTAGACCATTGGTGCACATGGGCTCCAGGATACTAAGGGAACAAATGGCGTATGAACCAATCATTGGTTACCGGCTACCATGGGACTGCATCTCCTGGCGTTGCTCCACTGCCTTATGGATCAGAATTTTAGGTCGAAGGCTCCTGGTATGGCCCCCTACGAACACCATCTGCTTCGGTCTGGGCACCCTGGCAGTATCACAACTTACACACAAATCAAGCGCATATGTATTCGTTGCCCCTTTGTACCAATATTTATGTGTTCAAATAAATAAGTAATAAATTCATATGGTAAAACTAATTATCTGACGAAAAAAATCAAATGTAAAAAAATTGGAAGCCAAAACTAATTTAAAACTATGAACTCTCAAATTACTGATTGAATGCTTTTTTGATTGACGAATCAGTCGAAACCATTAGCCACTGCCTAAACCTGACTTTAATTCATTAGTTGATCTATACAAGACCACCAATGAATACTCGGAATAACCGAAGGACAGTTACGTTTTCGACTCCTCCGTAGTGTACATTTACGATCCTGCACGCAGAACTCAAACTCAGGACTATCGATCTCGCGCGCGAGCGCTTAAACTCCAAACCACTGAGAAAGAACAACAATCTCCATAAATTCCCATACTGACAATGATTGTGTGCTCACGAGTGACTAGCATGAGGATGTAACTTCAGGAATGGTAATCAGAGACCGTACACAATCAAGTTCAATCCATACCGCGTGTGAGGCAGTTATTCACCACAACCAATAGATGAAAGGTTGTGAAAGACCATGGGCTGATTGAAGTTAGACATTTACATTATTGGATGCGGGCTCAGTGGTTCAGATATTTAGCGTTCGCGTCCGAAACCAAGTGTTCTAGGTTCGAGCTGCGAGTTTGTGATCGTGAATGCGCACCACTGAGTAGTCCCTTACTAGAACGAAACGACCGTTCATTGCTTTCAGGTTTTCAATAGAGGTTTAGGTTGAAATGACTCATGAATTCAACTGTGAAAACACTTCAATCTCCACAAATCCCCATACTCACTATAAATAGTAGATGCTATTCCCTAACGCCATAAAAGACACAGACTTTAAATTTTTTACACTACACTATGACAGTTGCCTTATTAGGGCTTTTCATAATATTTCAAGCCAAGTGAAGATAAAATTATTGATTATATTGTTTTATCAACAACCAAGGCCTCTGTATCAAAGAGATTCTATATCGAGTAAGATTATTCCTCACAATAAAAGTTGTAAGACAGCATTAATATTCTATGAAAACCTTTGTAAATATCATCGTGTGCTAAAGAATATGTGCATATATAAAATCTGCAGGTATGATTATTCTTAAAATATGAGAGTCAATGTTTTCGCTTGAAACTAGTTTCATCTAGTCTTACTTTTAAGTCATAAGTTTAGAAATCCTATTTCTACAATAAAGTAATACAACTCGTTGAATATGAATTATTCGTAAATCCACTACTCTTCTAAGTTGCTACACTTTCGTTTTCATAGACATTGAAATATTACTACCAATTTTTATTGCCATTTACATCTGCACAAAAAACCGCTATAAACCCATTGTTCTTCTTCCTATCCTTGACTTGGGCTTATTTTTATTTAGAGTGTAGTTGTAATTTTATTTTATTAATAAGTAAATTTGACTATTAAAACTTTAACCAATCAGTCAGTAACAACGTAGAACTTCGTACGTACGTACATCAGTTCGAGTTGCCACACCACATTAGCACAGAGATGCAGTTGTCGATTCAAATCCCGTGGTGGTAGAGACGGTAAGAGTATAAGCAGTAATCAAAAAGATTAGGGTTTAAAGATGTTATTCAAGAAGCATAATCCAGTGAAATAAATTTGGAAAGAGGAAAAAAGGGACATGAAGAATTCAGAAGATCAGAATTTGGGAGAACTCAAAGAGTGGATGCACCTGCTCGCACCATTGCAAACGATTTTGAGCCATGTCATTCAAGGTCTCTAACCATCGGTTGCTATCATCTCGCGGATCCCAACCAGGTAGTCTACACCTACCAACATGGCTCAGTCCATCTGTTAGTGACTTCATGGATTTGTGCCATGTTTTGGTCTGGCCGCCCTTAGCTTTCTTCCAACCTACTCCTATACCATTGAGCATCGTGCGTCGAGGCAGTCGGTGGTTGGGCATACGTAACACGTGTCTCAGCCATCTCAAATGATGAATTTTCATTACTTCATCAATTGATTTGCCATTCTTACCCAGTACCCGTATCTTAACAACTGCGTTATTTACTCATGAAAACTTTGATGATCTTCTTAAAACATTAGGCTTACTTCCAAACTACACAATTATTAAAATGCTCATCTAAATTAGACTTTGAGCAAGCTTAGCAAGTTCTTAAACAATTCGGGCTATCCATTACATATTTCTGTCTGTAGAAAATATCTATATTAATGTCAAATGAATACACAGTATTTCATAAATATAATCATTTGGAATTCCGTCTGTAGCTCTTCTAAAGCTAATGCCGGTCCCAAGCCCGCGCAAAGGAGGAGGGTCGGACATGGGGTCGGCAACCCTAAATCTCACTAAATAAATGCCAACCAGATTAAACAATCTAACCTCTGCCCCAGGAGTCGACGGAAGAATTATGACACCTCAGGATGAAAGCCGAGATTCTTCGGAAATCACTAGGCCGGTGTCACTTCTAACAACCGGAACAATAATTGTTATAGGTAAATGCAACGTCCGGACGATGTAGGAGACCAGGATGACCAGTCAAATAGCAACGGAAATGATGAGATCAGAATCAGTGAAGCCCATTAAACTCAAGCTGAACAGCAAAGGTTAGGTACGGGAGAGATGCTGCTGTACTCCAGTCACGAAGAGGAAAATGCACCATACACTCAAGGAGTTGCTCTAATGCTGTCCAAAGTAGCACGAGATGCACCTGTAGCATGGGAATCTCACGGATCCAGAATCGTCAAAGCATCCTTCAAAACAAACTAGGAGGCAATCACGATGAATATTATTTAACGTTATGTACCCAACAATCAATCCAACAAAAACGATAAACATCAGTTCTATGAGAGGCTGCAATCGGTCATAGCGAAGTGCCCATGAAATGACCTCACCATCCTGATAGGAGATCTAGATGCCAAAGTCGGGATAGACAACACCGGATATGGAGATATCATGGGACGACACGAACTGGGAGAGAGAAACGAGATTGGTGAGAGATTCGCAAACCTACATGCATTCGAAGAATCTGTCAAAGGTGGCACAATATTTCCACACAAACGCATGCACAAAGCTACATGGGCCTCATCTGATCACACCACAGAGAACCAGATACATCATATTTGCACCGCTGAAAAATTCATAATGGCAGTGAAAGACGTCAGAACCGTTAGAGGAGGTGACAGCTGAATGTGGCCAAGATGAAACTGGAGCTTAAAAAGCACTCGATAACTGAGGAAACAGTGTTACATTGCTTTAATGCAGCCTTCTATAATGACAATGACAAATCTAATGAATTCAAGATACAACTAGTTCCAAGCCTTACAAGATATATTATAAGAAGAAAAAACTACGATATAGGTCAGTTGGGGGGATATAAAAAAAGCAGAAAATTCAAAGTGTCAGGAGGTCTCGGGCTGAAAGTAACATAGTCATAAGGAATAGATCTCTATGAAAAAACAATGGACAAGATTCAAGAAAGGGAGAACAAGAAGACAGCAATTAGCAACAGCCGAACACGAGTGGAGAAAGTCAAGGAACAGGCTAAGTACACAGAAGGAGACAAGCAAAGGAAGAAGAGCTTTAGAGCCGACAAGCAGAAATACGTGGAAAAACTAGCAACGATGACGGACAAAGCTGCAAGTGATGGAAGTATGAAACAACTGTATGATACAACGAAGAAACTCGCAAGGAAATATAGTAAACCAGAGACCGGTTAAGGACAAATAAGAAAAGACGATCACCGAGTTTCAAGAACAAAGGAACATATGAGTAGAATACACTGAGGAACCGTTGAATAGACCAGCTCCATTGAACAATCACACGCAGAACTTCCTATAGATGGCACCCATCAACGAGCGAAGAAATCAGGATGGCCATCAGACAAATCAAGAGCGGGAAAGCAGCAGGACGTAACAATATTCCAGCCAAATCACTATAGTCAGACATAGAAGTAACTTCAAACATGCCCCACGCTCTATTCAAGAAGATTTAAGAGAAGGAACAAGTGCCGTTAAACCGGAAAGGATACGTCCTCAAGATACTAATGAAAGGAGATTTGAGCAAATGTGAGAGCTACAGAAACATTACACTACTGTCAGTACCTGAAAAGTTTTTCAACAGAGTGTTACTGAACCGGATGAAAGACTCAGTAGACGCCCAACTTCGATATAAACAGACTGGATTCCGTAAGGATAAATCGTGCACAGACCAAATCGTGACACTACGGATCAGCGTCGAACAATCAGTAGAGTGGAACTCGTCACCATACACAAAATCCCTTGACTGTGAGAGGGCGTTTCAGAGTGTGGATAGGAGAACCTTATGGAACATTCTCCGACACTATGGCGTACTTGAGAAAGTCGTCAACATCATAAAGAATTTATACGATAGAATACACTGGAGGTCGTGTGTGGAGGACAGCTTATATATTCATTCCAAGTATAGAATAGTGTTAGATAAAGCTTCTCACTCCCCCACTTTCTCTTCCTTCTTGTGGTTGACTGGATTATTAAGACCTCGACATCTGAGGGGAAACACAGAATAAAATGCACAGGTTGGATGCGACTAAACGATTTAGACTTCAAAGATAACCTGGCCCTTCGACCCCATACACACGAACAAATGCAGATGGAGACAACTAGTGTAACAGCAGCTTCTGCTTCAGCAGGCTTAATTATACACAAAGGAAAAAGCAAGATCCTCATATACAACGCAGAGAACACCAACTCACTCACACTTTATGGCGAAAATCTGAAAGATGTAGATTCCTTCACGTGCCTAGGAAGCATCATCAATGATCAAGGAGGATCAGATGCAGACATAAAGGCGGGGATTGGCAAAACAAGGGCCGCATTCCTACAATTGAAGAACATATAGAACTTAAAACAACTTTCAACTAGTATCAAAGTCAGAATCTTCAATAAGAACGTCAAGGCAGTTCCACTGTACGGAACTGAAACTTGGAGAACTACTAAAACCATCGTCAAGAAAGTACAAGTATTTATGAATAGTTGTCTACACAAGATACTCAATGTTTGTTGACCGGATACCTTCAGCAACAGCCTTCTGTGGGAGAGAACAAACCAGCTTTCAGCTGAGCAGGAAATTAGGAAAAAACTTTAGAAGTGGATAGAGCATACACTGTTGAAATCACCAAACTGCATTACGAGGCAAGCGAAAAATAGTGGTGAGCAGCCTATGCTCCTCCGCGAGAAGTAACAGGCGTAAGTAAGTAAGTAAATAATTATCATTTAAATCAAATAACCTAAAATGATAACAATTATTTTACAACCAACGAATTTTGTACCAGTTTATTTAAGTCAAGAATGAGGGAATGAACAAAGTTTCCTATTTGTTCTCATAAGCTATTTCTTTTTCAACATTTTGAAGCATCAATATCAACGAAACTATGATTCCATACTAAAGCGGCTCTAACATTTTACTTCTACTGAACACATTTCTTTATCTAAAGTTAATTATGAAAACTCATGAAAGATGAGAAAATTTGATTTTTCTTCCAACTCGATTATTTGTAGTGACATATAGTAGAGCACTTGAACAGTTTTAAAAAATGAAATATATCATGATACGTTTATAAGAACTAAATCTCGGCCTAAACGTTATCAGGAGAAAAGTGGTATATTAATTAGTGGAAGGTATTTTGCATAGAATACTGGAAATCAATTTTTTCTTGCGAATTACTTTCAATTATGGTCAGTCTGTCGTATTGAGAAAATTGCTGTTCTCATTGAAATCTGCATTTAAATCAAGTCGTTTTATTATTCAAGATACTATCACTAAGTTATTCTGGATAATTTTGTAAATGAAGATTTCTCATCTAGTATGTTTTCTCATGAGATTTGGAAGGAATAAGACCGTAATTTCATTGTTCATATAGATTTTATTCACAAACATATAAATACGCTTGATAAATGACTTTCATACTATAACACAAATTTTAAAAAGGTTGACTAAAACCACAGTATAAAGATGTAACGAATAGAGTGTATGGATTGAACACAGTTTTACTAATCGTGATTGATAACAAACTTTTGTTTATTTTAAAAGAATTCGTATATTTAATTAAGCGAATATAAAGAATTATAAAATGAGATGTGAGGATTAGCTTTATTACTTAACTCCACTCAAAGTAGCCTAAAAAGAAATGAAATGCTTCTAACTATGAATAAAATAAACAAACTTATCACATGTCAAAAACCAACTATTAATTTGTTTGAACTTCGTCCTTTACCATCGTGTTATTATTATTTCGTTGGAGGTAGGTAGAAGTGAACACGATTTATATTTTGTGCTAATTGCCTCTCGGCAACAAGATGTGTCTGTAATGTTAAGAGAACTGATACACTAAAGTACATTCGAACCTAGACCTCCTAGCATGAAACATAGAACCTGAGTTTTCCGTCAACTATTTCTGGCCAGCTAACGTTGAAATAAAGTATGTGTAGTGCTGAATCAATAAGACTAGTGTCTACATTTAAGCTTAAACAATAGGATGAGATCAACGCTAAGGACTAAATAATGATTACGTTGGCTAATGTTCACTTAATGACCAATCAACGTAAATCACCAGATCGGATATGTTTAACTCTGGATAACTTATATAACAACCAATCAATTATTCTTTATGTTTATGCCTAATAGGATGACAATGGAAGCATAGTATCCGTTAGATTATCCGGTGTAGTAAAAAAATAAATAAAATTATCTGTAACTTTCCAGCATAATACGCATTGAAACTAGTGATCCACATGTGATTCGATCGAATCTGATTCTTTTTCAACTATAATAACTATAGAAAATTACTAACTCGTGAACGCGCACTGCTGAGGAGTCACAAAATAGGAAGAAACGGTCGTCCAGTGCTTCCAGGTTTTCCATGGTGGTCTAGCTTCAATTGACTCATGATCTCAACCACTGAAATTACTATAATATCCACAAAACCCATCTGATATTAATCAACATATGCTCACTAATGACTGGCTTCAAGAGGTATATCTTGGAGTTCTAGTGAGAAGTAGTGACTAGTGGAGTTCAACCAGGTCTGTTGTGAGATAGTAACTCAGTGATGACAATGGTGGATGTGTCGCTCAATTTCGTGGATTAGTTGAAGTTAGACATTAATACCGTTGGATGACGACCGGTTCAGTGGTCTAGTGGTTATGTGCTCCAGTAGGTCCTGGTTTCGAATCTCGCAGAGGGCGAGGTCATGGGTGCGCACTGCTGAGGAGTCCCACAATAGGAAGAAACGGCCGTCCAGTGCTTTCGGGTTTTCCATGGTGGTCTAGCTTCAACTGACTCATGATATTAACCATTGAAATTATTAAATACTTAAAACAATAATATAATATTTTAACAATTAACTTACATGAACTTTCTGTCGATCTAGAGATTTAGTGCCAACCTTTGTGAATAATTCTGTTCTTGAAATATAACCATCTTTATTTCTATCTATATCATGAAACATTTTCAATAATTCATCAACTTCTTTTTTAGATGGCATATTTTTGTATAATATAATGTATAAATATTAAAATATTCCTTTAAAATTTATCTTTCAAAATGTTTATATTTTGATTGTTTACAAAGTACTCACTCAATACGTTTTATTCTTAGTGAGACGTATTTATATTGTTGAGAATACTTTTAAATAAATCTCATTTGTATGCTTATATAGTTGTATATGTTGTATATTCAATGGATCAATTATGATTTACTATTAGATAAAATAAAATTAGATCATGTGCGATACGCTGATGTTTTTTTAGTAGCATTATTTGATTATTTTTATTATTACTATTATTATTATTATGTAACAAAATGCATATTTTTTGTTTGTTTTTTAACTCTAGGTCGTAGAATGTGGGTGTTTAAAGTTTGCGATTACTTCTATTTATATTCGATAATATTTTACAAAGTTGATGAAAGATTTTATACAAAAAAGCTAAATAGATCTTGAGCATTGAGGGGTTTTGTGAAGATTGTAGTAATTTAATAATTGAAATTATGAGTTCATTGAAGCTAGACCACCATGGAAAACCTTGAAGCATTGGACGGCCGCTTCATCCTAGTATAAGACTACTCAGCAGTGTACATCCACGATCGCGCTCCATGAGATTCGAAATCAGGACCTATCAGTCTTGTCAGAACTATTCATCAATAATCAGCAAAACTATGTTAAGAAACAGTTTGAATCAGAATATAAAGTACCAAACTACATTTCAAAACTAGTAGACAACCATGTATGTCAGTTCTTAAAACGTAAAGTATTTGATGTCATGACATTGAGATGAAAGCGATTTCTTTTCGGAATGATGTGATGTAACGAAAGCAGAAGAAATAAGAATACACAACTAGGTATCAATTCGGTTTCCAAGTTGATATCATTTTATAATACGAGTTTACTTACAAGTCTTATAATCTCTGTATCATTAGTTATACTTTCACAAATACGAAAAAAATCATTGATACGTATCTGTACTAGAGTGTATGTAGAAATTCAAGCCCAGCATTTTAGGTTTCATTTACTAAATAAATAATATGCCGCATAACATATTACATCACATCAAGGTATATCATCAATGATGTGATTATTTTAGAGATTTACTGTAGTCAAATCAGTTTTAAATATTGATCCAAACTTACATTCAAAGTACATGATTGATGATTTCATAGTAGAATGAGAAGGTTACCCAGCCTGGTAATATGAATACTATATTTGTAATGCTTTGTTACTGTTTGATTTCATACTGAAATGTCATATTGTGTATAACCGTTCTAAATTCAAATTTATTCTTATTCTCTGTATATTGAATAGCTTTATACGTTAGAAACTGTACTCAAAAATAAATAAAATAGACGAAATAAATGAGATAAAAATTGTTTGCTTAGGAAGATGAATTTGTTGAACTTCACATGGAGTTCTATTTATTCAGTTTATTCTTGCTAGTACTTATAACTGAAGACTTTAAGAAATCCAATTGATACCCGAAACTCAACTGTTGTGTATTATAGTCAACAATAGAAATAAACGCAAATTTTGGACCTTTTAAATATACATGGCTCTCGACACATCTAATGCTACTAAAATGTACGCTTCTGGGTAGTCGTAAATGTACGACTTAGAAATAACTAATACAATAGCATAAAAGTTGTTTTAGCTATTCTAGCTTTTAAAAGTAAAACTCACTTTGTGATATCAACTACATATTTTTTACTGAATTGAATTACTCTTTAAAAATCTTCTTACACATACGATAGAACCGGGTTTTTTTCAAATCAACAGAAGGCAAGTATTCCTTAGATAAAATAGCATGAAAGTGTACATACTATTAAGATATTGACAGATCTAAACAAAATAGTCACTTAGGAGTAACCAAATTCTTGCTGTTTGATTCTCATGGAAGACTAAATTCTATCAGTCAATTTGCAATTTGTCTATTGGCTTAAGTGAGTCATGATTGGGATGCGCTCCGTGTGATATTAGTTTGTTACTATGAGCAGCAGGTAGCCTCATAATATCATTTTGGTATAGCCGATAGTCGTCACTTCTATTAGTGGTTACATGACAACGTAGTTGATAGAATTTGAATGTCTCTGAGATCTAGGTACTAAGATGACAATTACCATTAGGTTATGAAACAGTTTACTCGCTGAGCCCAACAGTGAATCAGTTGCGGCCGAAATAGCTCAGTGCTAACTTCATTGACAGAAATATAGGGTAGAGAGGGTTTGCTTTCCTCACTAACTATTAGTTCCCCCAAGGTTCGAAAGACTATTCACTGACATTTTAGCTTGCATGAAACCTTAGTCCATGGCTTCCTATATATTGCCTCCAAGCAACCAATGAATAAAAGTACCTCTTAGTTTTTCTCCTATTATAATTACTTGATTTGTCATTTAACCTACAATGATGATATTATTTTATTCTATTACCAATAGTACAGTACTTAACAGTATCTTTTACAACAATCAAACCTTCATATTGCTAAATAAGTGGTTGCAGCAACTCCATTAGAGCTCACTGGATGTGGAGTGTTCAGCCGAATCATCAAACTTTAAGCACAGTTGCTCTATATCAATGGAATCACTTTCACACTCAAGTGATTATTTGAATATAATTAAAATACCATTGCCCTGATTAACATGGTAAGATTATACTAACTACGTAAATTGAAAATTGAATATTAGGTTATTTGACCAGATATTCGCCGTTAAGTCCCAATAGTTATCACCAGATGAGCATCACGCCTGACATAATCGGGATAATTATTTCGCTACAATCGATTGCCTTTTGTCAGTTACATAAATACTATTATTCTCTTAGTTTACTGATACATAGAAATTCATATTTTGGTAAATATTTAGACTGGAGCAGAAAATACTTGTTGATGTCTCAGATACTATTAATTTATCCCATTGCTTGAATCCTTGCAAAAGCAAATATCTAAATATCCCATCAACACATTGACGATTAAATGTACCATTAAACAAGATGTCTGACTAAATGTAAGTGTTCTTTTCAAAAACATTTAGCACAATGAATTTTAAATTTAATAGAGAGGAAATCTTGAAAATTTCCAGGTATTGTGCATTTTGAAAAAATTTTCGGAAATTTTCATCTATTAAGTGCAATATATAACAACCTTACCTTTTCTAACACTTGAAAACCTTTCTACAGAACAGTTGCTCTTCATGAATATTAGTAGGTAAAAATCAGAGCATCAACTAATATCTGTCACTCAGAATGAATTGTGTCAATAGTGGTTACGAGATTAAAGAATCGAGATAACTCGCATATTTTCAACTCCCTTAGTTTTGGTTAGGCTGTGCTAGTGATTGAGATGAATTATTAGGTTTGTATTTTTTGTTTTGTTAATAAAAGCTAGGGACAATTCGTATGTCTACGTTCATTAGTGATTTGTTAACAAATTAAAAATGTGCTCAATAGTGACTAGCATGAAGATGTAACTTCAGGATTGGTAATCAGAGACCGTGAACAATCAATTTCCATCCATACCGGGTGTTATCCACCACAACCAATGGATGAAGGGTTGTGCAAGACCATGAATTGATTGAAGTTAGACATTTGGATTGTTAGATGCAAACCCAGTGGTCCAGATGTTAAGCGTTTGTGTCCGGGATCAAGTGTCCTAGGTTCGAGTCTCACTTGTGGAATTATGGGTGCGCAGTACTGAGGAGTTCCGTACTAGAACGAAGAAACCGTCGATTGCTTCCACGTTTCCAATGGAGGTCTAGCCTAGAATGGCTCGTGATTTTATTTGCAAATATTAAAAATGTCAGTAACATGACCATCATCAACAAACTGTACGTTTGAATTTTTATAGACTAGGTTACTATTTTTGTTGTAAATTCTTTGTGACATTCTCAGACAGAAATACGTGTCATTATTTTGTTCTATTTAATGTCAGTTTCTAAGACAAAATACCCATAATTAGTAACTAGTAAATAACTGGATCTACACACATTGACTCGAAATAGCAAAGTTGATAATATAAATATTTCTACATACTTTAAATTAACAAAAAAACAAAACATGTGTACATTAAATAGATAATGATTAATATACTTTGAATAGAAGCATTCTTATAATAGAGTACACGATATTTCTTTAATTATATTCTTTAATTAGCTGAACCATTGTTTAAAATAAATTATTACACATTATGAGTAGTCGAAGTATTTTAGCTATCAGTGAATTCCATCACGTAAGTTCCATCCTGTTCAAAGCCAATTAGCTAGGTGTGCATGCATTCAACTATTGGTATTCTTACCGTGACTGGTACCTAGTACCGTTTGCCTCAAACACCCAACGCTTTATTCACTGAGCTACTGAGTTCAGATAGTTGTTAATTTGTTCAATGGACATCAACATCAAAACTGGACTGCAAGTACATCTATTTAACAGCATAACTCAAAAAGAAAACTAAACAAAAAATTCTTTTACTATCAACAACAAATATAATAAATTTTCAAATGAAGTTATTCAATAGGAAAATAAACAAAAATAAGAAATCTTGAGATTAATCAAATCTACTTATTTTAAATCAGTAGAATGGGAAAAACAAACTTATGTCATCTAATCCAAGTACTGTTATCAAGCAATCATCATATTACTTACCACCATAGAAAAAAGATATTAGAATCAATTGTTTTGAAGATTAAGATTAATCAACGTAACAATTTGTATTCATTTTGATGTTCACATATTGTCATTCGTTTGGATCCTTCATTTCTTAAGTGATTTGAATAGAATTCGAGAGTTACAAACAATTTTTTTAATCACAACAAATCATGACATTCACTTGGTATTGTTTGCTTGAATCTTCTCATTGAGGCTTAAGACTGAAATTGATCAGCCTGTTATTGGCATATGTGCACACTATGCGTATTGCCTCGATATTGTCTTAATTCGCAAGCTTTATAAGCAAATATGTATAGTGCCTAGCAGATTGTGGGCAAGGTATTTCAGAAAACTAGTGTTTCATTTTGCGTATATATATCACATTTTAGGGAAAATGTAAGTCATGGTTAATGTAATTATGATTTCTTTACTGTCGACAGACCAAGAACAAAATAAACGATTATTCAGGAGAAAAGTAACATTTAGGGAGGCAAATGATACTCAGTCCAAATGAATTTAACTATTTGGTCATTTGGATTTACAGAATGTCGACGTACTTTCGTATTTGTTACAAACTTAAGTGCCGATTAACATATCAGATGAAATGTATGTAAGAAACTTTAGACCATGGCACTCTAATAACAATATGAAAGTTTGATTATTCGAAAAACTGTGGTGGATTAATAGCAAAAACGTGCTACTTTCCAGCTGACAAAATGGATTCACCATCAGTCTCAACCTATACAATTCACCTGTTATAAATAGTAAATTTGCATAGAAATAAAGAGGATACTTAATAAAACTGTCTTACTTATAACCTATGATTATATCTACAAACAATTTATGAAAATCCTGTGACAATCTCTGTGAGCAAAGTAAATTTAATCGCTAACAAAATACTGCGACATAACATTCTTCCAAACATTAATTATTACCATCAAATATTTATTGTAGTTAACATACAAGGCTAGAATAATTAACTTCATACTTCGTTAGAAAGACATTATGCTACGTTATTTAAAGCAAAGTTCAATAATAATGAGTTAGAGGTAGTTCATTAGCACGTTTGTTAAAACATTTAAAATTGATTCCCCGCCTATTATGAATGCCAAATACACTACGTTCATTTGTGCTCATCTAGCCCTACTCTCTGTAAACATCACTATTTCGAGGATTTCGTGCTAATACTTTTAATTCTCATATGATGATAAATATGTTCAAACTTTGATGGTTTGTCACTTGATAGAAATTTAAGTCTCTTACTTCTGGTGATGTATACTAGATAAAACAATCCCCTGTTGTTGATATAATAGAATATTACATTTGTGCATTATCAGAACATTTTCAATGTTTAATATGAAACCTGTGTTTGTTACAAAGCTATGAGTAAGTTCTGGACACTACATGGTGAAAGAGCTTCTTCTGCATATTTTTTTGGCATTCCAATAATTTACCATTTTTCTGTAAATTGAGTATCACCAGAAAAGCAATATATACACAATCTTTAAAGTTTTGTGGAGAAATTCGTACTGTTCGAAGGTGTTTTCCTTCATCTACTGGCAACTATTAAAGAAGCATTCTTAACTGGGGAATATTTAATGGCTGTCTCGTTTCCGTTAAATGCTAAATTAAGTTTCCCAATACATTTCTTCGCTCTTACGAATTCCAGATACGATACGTTCGTCTGTGCTCGTCTAGTCCTATGTGATTTAAATTGCTCTGTTTCGGGAATTCCTAGTTAGTACGTCCTTTCGATTAACTATATTTATCATACAGATACATTGGAAAACGTAATCTTATCATCAATAACTAATGCTTACACCACCGACGCATACCTTTCGAATTACAAAGCAAACAATTTTCGCTCAACAAAGTTGAAAATATTAATTCGTAATATCAGTGTTCTTTAGTCAGAATACACTCGTTATATTTTGTCCTCTATTTGCACACTAAATATTTAGACTGTTTATTATCACATTGTATGAAAACGATACTATGTCTTCCCTATTTCAGCCACCAGAGAAAAACGCGACTCAATTTTGATTTCACCAACATCACAACCATACAGCATTTTAAGACGAGAGATAATGAACTATCTCTCTTTGCCAGACGGTCAAAGAATCCGAAGTCTTTTCTAAGTAGAAACTTTAGGTGATAAATCACCATCACAGCTTTTGCGTCACCTCCAAGTCTTAGTGGGAGACAACACAGTCGGTGGTGTAGCCCTAAAAAATGTATATAAGCTCTTCCATGTTACATTCACCACTATTTAGATGTTCACGATTCGGACACTTTATCTCATTCAGCCCGTATTGAAAATAGAATAATGGGAGAGGTCTCCCAACTGGACCACGTACTATGCACCATACACAAAAAGGTGAATCATTAAAAGATTTAGTCATGATACTTATGGGCACATCTTTCACAATAATAACTGATGGA